GCCCCCCTGAGAAACTACATCTCCCAGGGGGGCTTGCGGCGGCGCGGCCCCGGCGCGGCGCGCCCGGCGCGGGGCATGCTGGGACGGGGGCTCCAAAATGGACAACCACAGGGATGCGCCAGGTACGGCCCGGGCTGGGCGGCTCCGGCCGCTCCCGGCTCTGCCCCGGCCCTCCTGGGGCTCTGCTCCGCTCCTCCCGCCTCGCTGCCATCCCCTAGCTCGGCCCCAGCGTTCCCGGAGCTCTGGGAGCCGAGGGTGGGGGTGTGCCGGCAGAGTCGGGGGCTGAGGGAGGTTCCCCGTTAAATTCCCCCCTTTTTTCCTGCAGCGGAGCCCAGCCGGGAGTTCGGGATGGATCCCCGCATTCGTTCCCGGATCGTTTTCCCGTAGGGAAGCCGGGCTGGTGTTTTGGGATGGTTCCTCTGTTAATTTCCTTCCCTTTTCCCACAGAAAAACCGAGTCGGGGGTCCGGGAGGATCTCCCCGTTATTTTTCCTCCGATTTTCCCACAGGGAAGCAGAGTCGGTAGCTCGGGGAAGCTCCGTTGTTTATTTTTCCTCTTTTTTTTCCCACAGGAAGACCAACTGTTCATTGCCTGTCTCTTTTCCCGTAGGAAAGCTGAGCTGATGGTCCGTGGAGACCCCACTGTTGATTTTAGTTTTTTCTCCTTTTTTTTTCCATAGGGAAGCTGATTTCAGGCGGATCCCACAGTTTATTCCTTCCCTTTTCCCCCGGGGAGAGCGAGCCTTGTTTCGGGATGATCCCCGTGTTAATCTCCCCTCTTTTACCGTAGGAAATACGAGCCTTGATTTGGGATGGTTTCCCCGTTAATTTTCCTCCTTTTCCCACAGGAAAGATGAATTTGCAGTAGTCCTTACTCTAATCCCGCTTTTTTTTCCTCAGGGAAACTGAATTCGGTATGATCCTTACTCTAATCCCGCTTTTTTTCCCTCAGGGAGGTTGAATTCGGGATGGTCCCTACTCATATCCCACCCTTTTCCCTCAGGGAATGTGAGCCTTCATTTGGGATGGTCCCTATTAAATCCCACTCTTTTCCCACAGGAAATGTGCACCTAGATTTGGGATGATCCCTGTTAAATCCCACCTTTTTCCCTCAGGGAATGTGCCCCTAGATTCTGGATGATTCCCATGCTAATTCCCGCCTTTTTCCCTCAGGGAGCGGGCCCCTGTATTCCAGATAATTCCCATGCTAATTCCCGCTCTTTTCCCTCAGGGAAAGTGACCCCTGAATTTAGGATGATTCCTGTTAATTCCCCCCACCTTTTACCTCAGGGAATGTGCACCTGGGTTTGGGATGATCAGTGTTAAATCCCACCTTTTTTCCTTAGGGGATGTGCCCCTGGATTCTGGATGGTTCCCATGCTAATTCCCGCCTTTTTCCCTCAGGGAATGCGCCCCTGGATTCCAGATAATTCCCATGGTAATTCCCGCCCTTTTCCCTCAGGGAAGGCGGCCCTTGAATTAGGATGATTCCTTTAATTCCCCCACTTTTCCCACAAGGAATGCACACCTAGATTTGGGATGATCCGTGTTAAATCCCGCCTTTTCCCCTCAGGGAACGGGCCCCTGGATTCCGGATGATTCCCATGCTAATTCCCGCCTTTTTCCCTCAGGGAAGATGGCCCTTGAATTAGGATGATTCCTTTAATTCCCCCCCCCGACAATTCCCATGCTAATTCCCTCCTTTCCCCTCAGGGAAGGCGAGCCGCTGGTTCGGAGTGTCCCAATCCAAGTCGGCCAAGACCAGCGTGAACATCCTGCAGCAGGAGGAGCTGATCGCCCAGAAAAAACGGGAAATCGAGGCCCGGCTGGAGCAGCAGGCGCGGCAGAATTCCCTCAGCATCCCGCAGCTCCCGCTGCTCGGAGAGTACGCGGGAATTCCGGGAAT